TTTTTCCAGCCGAGATGAAAGGTGAACTCAGCTCAGCTAGGAGCTAACATTGTGGAAGGTACATTTTTATGTGAAAAGGAACTTTAGGCAAAAACTGATGGAGTAAAAAGGAGTATTTGATATCAAACTGAAATTTTTATATTCTTATAAGAAGATACTTTTATTTCTTCAATGAACCATCAATATGATGTTTTTCCAGGTAAACATTGATGAGAATGTTCTCATAACTTCTGTATAAGGACCGTTTGGATGAGAATCAGTCAGCATATACAAGTTCCTTGTGAAAAGCATGTTGTGCAAGAGCAAAAGATTGATTTATTTAATGGAAATTGGAAAGGGATATGAATCATCATTCATTTTTCCATCACATTTTGAAACAAAAATGAACTTACGCTAAGGAGGTCGAGGCCAGCTGCATCAAGATTTGGAACAACACTTGCCAGCTCCTGGAAAGGCAAATATACCAAATAAAGATTAAATATCAGGAGTTCATACAAGAAACTGAAAAGTAGAATACTGAAAAACTCGTCCCAATTCCAATCACCTTAGGTGTCCATTTTGGAAATGCTGATTTGAAGTCAGGTAGAGATGTCACCCCGGGCCAGCTGTCTTCATTTGGAGTGCCCATGATTCTTGAAAACAAAAGCGAAAAAATGGAATAAATATTATACAACCATGTCTAGAATTGAAAATGTCAATGACCTATGGAAGAAAATGTTGTTCAAATAATTATAGAGTGCCCTAGAATATTATCAGCAAAAAGAGCCTAGTCAGTCTATTCAAATGACAAATAAGAACTCACACAACTTCTGCATTGTTCAAGCTATATTACCTAAAAATTTTGAAGAGTTGATCTATCTCAGAGTCGCCAGGAAATAAAGGTCGTTGGTTAACCATCTCAGCAAATATACAACCAACTGACCATACGTCCACAGGAGTCGAATAGTGGCGTGATCCAAGTAGTATTTCTGGAGCCCTGTACCATAATGTCACAACCTGCCAAAAAATGGATGGTTTAAGGAAAAGCAAAAGGTACTGATCAACTTGCAACTTCCTATTTCTCAATAGTTAGATTTATAATGCATAATAAGATCGGAAACGATTGCCAAAAATAAAGCCCTTTAGTCCTGAAAATATTTACCTCGTGAGTAAATGTCCTGACAGGGATGCCAAATGCTCGAGCCAGTCCAAAATCTGCAAGCTTCAATGCATTTGTACTTCGATCGATCAGCAAGTTTTGAGGCTTCAAGTCCCGGTGGAGGACACGGTGAGAATGGCAAAAGGATATGCCACGAAGAATTTGATAAAGGAACATCTGAGAGAAAAGAGATTTGACTTAATGACAATATTCATTAGCAAGATAATGAGTTTGATTCAATTTATTTGCAGCTCTCTAAAGATTTAATGCTTCAACTTCTTTTTTAATCTTATGAGAATAACAGCAAAACCCTCAGCTTCAGGTATATTTCTCACACTGATAACTGTAGTAACTGGAGAGAGAGACAGTTATAAAGAATAAGTATGTGGGCTTTTCATTCAGGACTCGAGAATTATAAATCTCATTCGCAGTAAATCTCATCAGACAACAAACTCAACAAAAAGAAAGATTATTACATCAGGCCTTAAGACGGCAGAAATAGGCTTACATACTTTAACCACACGGGGATCCTTTGAGAAATCTGGGCAAGAATCCATGTGTTTCTTCAGGTCCAAGTCCAGATATTCAAATACCAGATATAAACGCTTATCATTATGCACCACATCGTGCAACCTGTGACCGAAAGTCAGAAATTAGTTATGCTTGAAAACTTGGCATGCCACTTACAACAACATAACCTTAATATTCCATTGTTTCAGTCAATCATACAAATTGAACATGAATAATTAATTGACAACGGTGCCTTCTCACGCACCATAACAGACTAAATTAAAAATCTCTTCTCTGCAATCATACTTCTTAACCCCTATACATTTTTAAGAATCCACGTCAAATTACTATAAACCAAAAGTACCTCACAATATTCCCATGTTTCATCTCTTTCAAGAGAGAGATCTCTCTAATAGCCGTGCTGGGTACTCCCTCGTCTTCCTGCTCTAGCCTGATTTTCTTCAAAGCAATGGTTTCATTTGTCAGTCGATCACGAGCCTTGTACACCACACCATATGTCCCTTCACCAATCTTCTCAACCTTTTCATACTGCATTGACCAATTTTGAAACATCATAATTCTGTAAATCTTTGCGAGAAGCACAATAATTTTTAAGATTACTGTCTTTACCTGGTCCATCTAGCCGAGATAACAGAAATCTCCTATCTACAACACGAGGAAAAAATAATAGATAACACATAAGATAAAAACTGTAAGCCACATAGTCTCAATTAAGATGAAGAGATGAAGACAGAATAATAGTGAACATTTTTCACCTTGTATATTAAACTTCCCAACACATTAGGCAAACATCAATAACTAAATAAGAGAAAAATATAATATCGAACTCTACCATAAAAGAAGATAATCCTCGGATATCAGGCACATTGTATATGTCTATTAAATGTAATAAACAGAAAAGGTAACTTTGAACATATAAGAGTAAAATGCATTTACCGAGATTCGAAAGTGAGGAAAACAGCAATGAAATTTTTTTGGAAGGGAATGACAAAAGTTAATTAAGCTAAAAGATTCGGCAGCTCTCCGAATAACTCGCTAAATTGTAATAATACGTTTGATCAGCACAGATAACTATAGATTAAGCAATAAGATTATATCACACTATGTTTTCAGTATCGGCTCAGCTTACTCTAGCCGCCAAAATGCAACCATGGATTACGCAATCATCCACTTCTATGAGCTCAATTTAACCAAGAAACCACATACAATTAGAACACAAATCATAAGATCGACACACATTCTCTCCATCGTGAACAACTCAAAGCTAAAAGTGTAAAAACATGGAAAAATTTACAGAAATGGATAGATAAACCAGCATTAATCGTTATTTCAACAGAATCAACCTGCAGGCAGCCTGCATCCGTCGTCGATCATCCAGTTTCAGGCACAACAAATAACACATAAATCGATCAGATTAGCATCACATCNTCACATATAGGGTTGGCTTTTTTTTTTTTTATTTATTTATTTTTCGGTTTATATTATAATTATTTAAAAAACTTGATTGGGTGAGGGCTTTGACCAAGTTTTACTATGGTTAGGTTGAGTCACTCTCTTGTTAACTTTTTTTTTTCCTTAATTTAAAAATTTTATATGAGTTTTTTTTTTCTTTCCAAATTTATACAAAGTATTTGGTATTAATCTTATTTATAAAATGAGATAGCAGGCTCGGGCTAAATGGTTCGAATAAATAATCATGGACTAAATATATTTGACAGTGGTAAAAGACTTGAGCTAAGTTCAGAATTAAAAAAATCATGGTTTAAATGGATAGAATAGAATAAGACTCCGTCGTTAAAGTTGTTATACGAAAAGAATCATTTATGAGTTTCACTCTTTGAGTTTGAAAATAAAAAGAATTAATTTAATTTTTTATAATTCAATTTATTGAAGCTCGTGTTCAATATGTTAATATTGATAAATTAGTTTAGTTCGAACTCGTTTATTAACTCATTTTATTAACAAATTGAACTCGACCTCGATTTCATATAAATTCAATTTCGACTTAACGTGTTTATTCATCTAATAAACTCCATTCTTTAGGACTAAGTGGGTCACACCTACCCATTTGGCACATCTACCACCAAACACAACAATATGTTAAGTCACTTCTACAATAAAATTAGGTTTTTTTTTTTTTTTAAATTCATAACTTTTTTTTTCAACTTAGTCTCATTATATTCAAAATGTATTTATTGTGAAAACTATTTTGAAGGCATGATTAAATTCTCCATACTCACATACTCAAGCTTTTAGGTGGTCCTAAGCTAGGCTAAGACCTTTGACCCTAAAGCAACAAAGATTATGCACAGTCAAAATTATCCAACTTAATTTTATCATTCATGTTAGGCGAGATGATCCTATAACTAAATGCACCATCTACTGCACTTATTTATATATATATAATTGCTAACCTTTCATTTAATTTACCTCATAAATAAAACCTAATAAATAATACAAACTTTTCAAATACAAAAACCGTTACTTTCACAAAATACATCAATTTTAGACTGTTACAAAATCTAAACTAATGATCACTATTTTATCTAAGTATATCAATTTAGGTTAATTAGCTAAAAATGTTTACTTTTTTAATTTCTTATATAATCATTACTATGCTAACTTAATTATGAATTATTTATTATAGAAACTCATGATTACATAAGCATGTATTCAGAATATAAATTTTTTAAATTTTTTTTTTTATAAATGTTTATTTGGAATATCTATTGTTTTTTATGATATCACTACAATAATTAATCATGGTGAAAATGGAAAATGCAGCACATGTACAACATGGACAAATACACTAACAACAATACAAAATAATTTCACCAGCTCTGAAAATTGTATCATATAATAGTTATTATTATAATTAATAATTATATTTTACACTAAATGATATGTGAAAGTTACATAAACATAAGAAACTATATTGTAAAAACTTTTTGTTCGAGTACTTTATATAAAAATCAATATAATATTTATTTATCTGCTTAAGCGATTAGTTTTTAAATAAATTAAATTTTTTAATGGCATAGTAAAATTCCTTAAAACCGCATAAGTTATTGTTATAATAAATTTAATATTTTTTAGCTAATTAATTAGTCATAGTCCCTTAAAATTTCAAAAAATACATTACTTATTTTATTTTATTCAAACAATATAAGTGATTCATATACAATCAAATCATTATGTACTATTTATTTTAACCAATGATCAAATTTTAAAATATAATACCTTTTTAACTTATAATTTTAATATTATATGCATAAATATAACTTATAATACCCTACGTATAAAATATAATATCATTATCTAACTTATAATTTTAATATTATATGCATACAAATAACTTATAATACTTCATTTATATCTGTGCAAATGCACATGATCGAATACTAGTTGCTTAAATAAAATAAAATGTGTCATATGACATTTAGTGCAAATAATTATTGGCACAAACCACAAATTAATCATTGACATGGCAAACAATAATATGAAGAAATTAGTAAATTATTATATGTACGTATTTTGAGTAAATAAAGTATTTGAACTAAATTGCATTCACGTAGTCAATTATAATGGGTATAATGATGGGCCAATCTGATAAACATGTAAATTAGAAAATGGACCTATAGTATAACGGCCCAATTCCTTTATGATATTAGGAGTTCTCTTTCAAACTCATATCAGTTTTCAAATGAAGCTTACACAATCACTGGGCTTCCTGCTGAATATTTTCATTCTCTGTCTATGTTGCAATTCATACACTGATTGCTGATATGTTTTTTNTTTGTTACAAACAGAGATAGTTGTTTACGAGTTACTAGAGACAAACGTTCCGTGGATAAGAGACACCTCTAACATCGTGCTCAAGCCACGGAACAACACTGGAAGGTGGGTCTGGAAGCAGATGGCACCCGACAGAGACCGAAGCCGCATAAGGCGCCAGGCAGTCCGCAATAAAGTTCGCCTCATGAAAGATGTGAGAGATTTTCACCTGCCAATCTCGACTTAAGAGCTCCCATACCCCTATTACCAAGTCAGAATGAACTTCCTCTATATCTTCTGTATTATTTGTGAAACCTACGACGATGGAATTGTTGACTTCAGCCTCTACCCGGAGATATCTCAAGCTCCAAGCTAAGCTCAAGTCCTGGAATAATCCCCATAACTCTGCTGCAGTTATAGAGCAGTCTCCGATGTTCATTAAGAAGCCATCGAGCCAGTTGGCATGGGAGTCAGGGAGCAACCCTCCCAAGGAGGCCTTACCAGAGGCAGAGGATCTATTATGGGCTCCGTCAGAGTTTACCTTTATCTATGAATTCGGCGGCGGTTCCCATCTGACAAGGCGCTGGACACGAGTAGTCCCTATGATGCCAACCTTCATAACTCCATCGGCAAAGTGTAACACACTTTGGACAAAAGCTCGGATTTCATTCACTTTCCCAAACGCATCTAATCCACGGCTTTGAAAAATGAAAATATTTCGCCAATGTCACAATTTTCACAGAGTTACGCCAAAAGTTCACTCCCAGTTATCATCGGTAACGAAAGTGTCGGGCCGATTTAAGAGATTAGATGTAAGCCAGGCCTTGAGCTCAACCCAAAAAAAATCCAGCTGCACATCTGCCGGAACCAGGCGAAGCCATACCTGGGTAGCCTCCGGACAGTCCCGGAGGACTGCTGATATGCTTTCTTAAATCTCTTTGACCAATATTAAAATATCGACATTAATAACTTCCAAATTATTGGTTTAGCATATCATATTATTTATTTTTATATTTATTCCACAAATTCTAGTGATAAGCTAAATCTATTACTATATAATAGCAATAAGAAAAAATATAGAAATAGCATGACAATTTTCGCCAAAAATTTCATTTTTTACTACTAATGAAAGTTTTTTTTTTTGATTTCTCTGGCCTATCACATGTTTTCAATTTTGAAATTAATTCCAAAAACTATATATCGGGTAAAAGCCCTAAATTTGGTTTATATGTTTGAAGATTTGTGTATTTTTAAGAATGGAAAATAAAATATATATTTCACATATTCTATATATATCCGGTCAAAGCCCTCATCTTACCTATGAAGATTTTTATTATATTTGGAAGTACTTTGAAATATATGTTACTTTGAAGATTTGTGTATCTTCAAACAATTAATTTTGTATCTAACCAATCAATTAAAAAAACGGTATTAGTAGTATGATAGAATTCATGATGAATCACTAATCTCAAACATATATATTAAAATTCTTAACAATTTCAGTGCTATCTAAAATTTCAAAATATTAAAATTCTTTCTTAACGGGATCAGTAATCCATTTTTTAACAACTTACTTAAACAATTTCAAAATATTAAAATTCTTAATCATCCAATTTTTATTTTTTTTGGAAATTATGATTTCAAATTAAAGAAATTCTTATTACACGTACAATAAAAATAAATTGTTTTAAAAAAAAAAGGGTTTATACTATCTCTCAAAATATATTTTCCTTATTTTTTCGTACAACTTAATTACTCTTTAAATCGATCTATCAAGATCTTACTATGAAAAAAATATAGATTCATATTTATAGTTGTTTTTTTAAAAAAAAATATATTGTCTCGAACAATCGAATTTACTAATATAAGTACATAGCATGTTATTTGGAGCAAATATATTTTACATAATTATATAGATAACAATACTCACATTCCTAAATATGAATGTG